AAAAATTCTATCAATATAAAAATTGCTTTACAAGAATGTCGAGTTAAATAAGAATACAATTTAGACAGCTAAAAAAGTTTATGAAGAGAAAAGTTTAAGAGAAAGAACGAAAGAGAGAAAGAAACGAAGAAACAAAGAAAAATAATTTGAAAACAAAACAAAAAAAAAACAAAGAAAAAAGGCTTTCTTTCTCTATTTTCTCTCTCTCTCTCTCAGATAGAAAAAACTTTTTATTGCTGGTCGTGAACTTCTGAGCTTTAAATAAACGAGCAGAGGTGTGTTATCAGGATTTAAAAACACGAGGCGTAGCCGAGTGTTTTTAGACCTGATAAAACACGATCTGCGAGCTTATTGAACTGCTTCATAAACGCGTGAACAATTAACGAACTTTGAACGGCTTAGAAATCACAGCTTAGAAAGATCAACATATTTTTGGCTGGAACTTATTGCGTTAGCATCAATTTTGTCAACACTCTTCCTACTTGAAAAAACTGAAAATGCCTCCAAAGCGGGTGTTTCGGAAATCAAAAACTGCTTCAGAAGAACAATCCTTTTTACAGAAATCTGTACCTAGGTCGACACGTTACGTAACGAAATGGTCATTCAAAATTTTTGTCTCTTGGCAAACAGCAAGGTCAAATGAAAATCCCGTTTTGGAAGAGATTGGATTCATAGCCGACGTCGAGAAAATCCAAAGTCTCGAAACTAATATTGTAAACATGACGGCGGATTCATTGAATTTCTGGCTAACAAAATTTGTACAAGAAATTTGCAAAGAGGATGGACAGAGATACCCCCCGMGATCTTTGTACAGCATCATATGTGGTCTCCAACGTCATTTGGACGAGGGTAATGGAGCTGAAGCGGTACGATTGTTAAATATAGAGGACAGAAGGTAAAACATTTTTACACTTGGTTTCACTACATATTGGTACATGTGCACTATTCATGATCAGTTATCATGACATGTAAAAATGTTCGTTTCCTTGATTTTAACTCTAGACTGAGTATATTTCGACGCGCACTCGATGCAGAAATGATGAGACAGTCTTCGGAGGATGGAGCTATGAAGAATCAGTATCCAAAACATACCACGGTGGTCTAAAAGACCTAAAATATAAAGCACGTGTTGTAAAGCATGTTTGCTGCGAAGATAATAAGAAACATTTTCTATGTCTACTTAGTTGCTATTCCAAATACCTAGAGAATATTAGAAACTTAGACAAGAACTTGGATGCATTCTATTTCAAACAATCCAGATTCGGCAGTATTTAGTTACCTAAATGTACCTTTGGGAATAAATACTTTAAATAAGATTTTACCGGAAATGTTTGCGGTGAAGCAGGTTTGCCGAAAAAAACTTCTCACAGCTTAAGGGTTACCTGTGCAACTCGACTATTCCAAGAAGCGGTTGATGAGAAATTGATTAGGGAGCGCACTGGTCATCGCTCTAGCGCATTGTTTACATATGAAAAGGCAAGTGYACAGCAGGAAGTGCATGTTAGCAAAATTTTAGGTCCTCCGAAAGATATACAGCCTGTAACAGATACGACAATTGAAGATTTAAGTTTAATATCCGATATAGTCGATTTGGAGATTTCGGATGCATTCCTAAGTAACATGACTCTTCCAAATGMAACTATTACTTCATCTAACCAAGACAAAGATGAGAGTTTAAGCTTAATGCCTGATTTTGATATTTCTRATGATTTGTTAAGCAGCWTTACTTTACCAAATGAAACCGTAACTTCAAATGTATCMTCTACAATAACCAACYGTGTGTTTAAYAATTGTAYTTTCAATTTCAAGTAATAATATCTTCGTAAATTCGTATGTTAAATTAAAGTTCTGAATGTTTATGTTTTTTAATTGTAATTCAAGGTTATATCATTGAATGAGTTATCTAGGTACCTTATAACATGTGTACAGTTCGTCTATGGGTTAGGATTGATTAGCATTATATTACAATCTATAAAAAACATACATATGAATCATATATAATTTAGTGATAAGAAAAGTAAATGTATAAGCTTCTATATTGTTTAAGTGATATTTCATAACCAAACAAAGTTTATTTAAACAATTTGCTGTTAGGAACACATACAATTGCTGTAGTTAATGGGTCTGAATCCAGGGGAACATTGGAGAATAGCTTTAGAGATGTATTCAATGAAATAAACTTGGTAAAGGAAAATGGATACATTATGGTGGATGGTTCAAAGGTAGAGGTGGATTTCTTTCTTGGTGGTGATTACAAGGTAAGTGAGCATGCAATTTTTCTTTATTGACAAAAATAAAATAGTATTAATAATATTCCTTTTTTTAGTTTTTACTGCTTGTCATGGGTCTCAGTGCTGCTAATTCAATTTATGCATGCATATGGTGCAAGGTTCACAAGAATGAGAGGTAGCTAATGCATCCACAATTGCATTTCCTTTATTTTTTAAACCAATAACAGTAAATCACATACAAACAGTCACATGAAACTTCCCTACCCTACACAAATGTCACTTTATTTTACTTTTCATAATGCTAGAGGTGATATGACCAAACCTGACRACTACTACGACAGTGGTACTATGCAGCGAACGCTAGATGAACTTAAAAAAATGGCAGAGACTGGAGACTTCTGCTGCACCTCTAAACCTCTCCTGTCGATAGCTCTAAACAAAATCATCCCAGATGAGCTCCATCTTATGCTCAGAGTGTCTGACATCCTGATTGGCAATCTGATCGAGGATGCATTACAGTGGGATGAAAAAGATCAATTTAGAAACWGAGGGAAAAACTTAGGAACCCACCTAAAGAAACTTGTAGAGACCATATGYAGTTGTGGAGTCTCCTTTTCTGTGTGGGAAAAGAACAATGCAGATGGGAGGGGTAGTGGGACCATGGACTGGACTAGTCTAATGGGAGACGACAGAAAGAAACTACTCAATGAGCTCCCCCAAAAGCTTGGTGAAGCTATTCAGCCAGACACTGCTCAGGCAGTGGCAGATTTGTGGAAGGTGTGTATTTTTTGTTAATTTGTTATTGCCAAGAAACAATGTCATTTACTTCTTTATTTTTTGTTTTGTTTTGTAGAAATTTGCTGACATGTACTTTGGCTTCATTTCATCTCTCAAACCTTACAATATTGATCAATACCGTGCTCAGGTAAATATTGTTAAATGCTGCTTACATTTATATATTACAAATGCCAGAGAAAATGATCAAATCCCATCTATACACTCAGTATTTTTTTTTTCTTTTGTACAAAATTCAGATTAAACAGTGGATAGATGATTTTACATCATTAGGACATAAAAGGGTTGGATACAAAACTGAGCGTGTTACTTGCTATATGCACATGGCGGCCTATCACATCCCTAATATGGTTAAGACGCACGACAATCTGAAGCAATTTAGTGGACAAGGTAATTTAATAATTGATATTGAGAATACAGTATCTTGTCAACAAGAATACCCTTCTRAAGTTGAATATCCTAGCTTATAAAAATATATAGGTTAAAAGGTGTTCGATAAGCAAATTCTATGAATAAGATAACTGGATTGTAGCTTAATATGGTTCTTGACTTCTCCTTACATTACCTGCACAATCCGCTTCGTATTCCTCAACTTTTTGCTTCAGCTCATCTAATCCAATCTTCATAGCTAACACTTTTAATAACTTCACATCGTTTGCTCCGATAACACCTTGTTTGTCCAATGCTTCTACAAACTTTTTTACATTATCGATTTCTTCTAGTTCGTTTTCAGTGAGTTCAGAGAGATATGTATGAAAACGATCTTTGAGCTCAGCTAGAGTGCGATTTCCATCTTTGATATAAACATCAAGTTGATGGATAGTTTCTACCTTAAGATTGTCATACAAGAAACGCTTTGTCGAGTCTTAAATTTCCATGGTTGCTAAACTTCTCGTGACATTACCTGAACAATCCGGATCAAATTTCTCAACTTTTTGCTTCAGTTCTGGTAGTTGAAGCTGCTCAGCCAATATCTTTAATAACTTCACATCCTTAGGTCCTATAACATTTCGTTCTTCCAAAGCTTCTACAAGTTTTTTTACATTTCTGACTTTACTTAGTCCTTCTTCAGGTAGCAATCCACGAAAGCAATCTTTGAGGTCAGCCAGAGTGCCTCTTTCACTTGTGATATAATCACACAGGTGATGGATAGTTTCMTGCCTAAGGCGGTTATAGAGTAAAACCACTGTCGGGTCTTGAGCTGCCATGGTTGCAGATCAGAGGCTTCACAACCACCAACTTTCAAATGTCACTCTCCATTGTGTTTAGTTTTGCAAGGTTTTTTCTTGTTGGAAGGGTGTTGTTTATATAACGAATCGTGAAGTTATAGATAGTTTTAGGTAATTTAGACTGCACAGATGACCAGATACTGTTTAGTTTTGGCAAGGAATCATTTACTTGTTTGAAGAAGAAGCCTTGTGAAACCAGATTGGGACATAGTTTATGTTCTTGATCGGCATGGAAATTTTTGATCACGTCTTTAGTTGTTTTGAAGACATCGTATTGGACATTTGTGTGCGAACTAGTGGAGGACCAGAGATCTTTGATGTCTGCATTCGGGGATGACTTGAGAGCTTTACGGAGGACGGTTTGGCATTGAGTAAATTTAACAGAGGGAGGACAGATATTTAAGCCAAATTTGTAATAATTTATAATAATAATAATAATAATAACAATAATAATAATAATAACTTTATTAATGTCTCTATTTCTTCTAGCCGGGCACGACTGCCCTCCTAATCATGAGTTTATGAAGGCTAATGAATATGTTTCTCAGAACTCGATATCCCTAAAAATCACATTCTCAGCATTATCAAGTCTTTATCACTACCATTCCACAATTCTTGGAGAATATTGTGGTAGTTTAWGTAGTATCATAAAGAACGGTCAGGGGGAGATCCAGGAGGTGCCCCTAGGTGAACCCTAATATCATAATTACTTTTGAACTTTTATTATATAATGATTCTACAGAATGGGAACGTTTCACCCGATCCCGCACTGGTTCAAGTCGGGGTTCAAGTTCACTGAAGCCAGAATGTATGAGATGTACATATGTAAAGAACTTTGGTTGCGCGTCAGTTCAACCTCACAGTGTGGGATCAGTTGAAACGTTCCCATGATGTACCCGATGTATGTATATACCGATAATCAAGAAATTAGTAGTATGCATTTATACATTTATAAAAATATCTAATGTACGAAAACCGAGAAGGGACTTCAGACTTCAGAGATAATAATTTCAGAGGTAATAATTTCAGAGGTAATAATTTCAGAGGTAATAATTTCAGAGGTAATAATTTCAGAGGTAATAATTTCAGAGGTAATAATTTCAGAGATAATAATTTCAGAGATAATAATGTAAAACTTGTTATGCAATGACATCAAATCTTTGCTTCGTCTCCATTAGATCGATGTATGCATTACGAACTCCGTTATAACCCTATGTTTCGGGAAGGAGCTATATTATCGGGTGTTCTGCATTTAGATCATACTTTACTATACTCGTTTAGAGTGGATGCCAGTGGATACTCGATAATATAGCCCATATGATATAATTAAAATTCATTGAATGGTTTTTGCTTACCAAAACATAGGGGCTGAACAAGCTCGTGAATAAGGGATTAAAAAAGTTCAAAGTGAAATATTAAGAACAAAGCAAGGACGAGATGTTTAATAAATGTCCCGAGAGATTCAAATAATTTATTCCCTTTATACAAGTTAGTTGGTTACCAACATAGTAACTTTGTTAACTCAGTTAACTATGGTTATCAAAAAGCGTGAAAGCGAACAAGTTAAAGAAATAAAATTTTAACTGACTCGAAGAAAAAGGTTTCAAGTTATGACTTTATGACCCCGAACAGGGGCTATAACGGAGCTCGTAATGCATACGAATCGATCTAAAGGAGACGAAGCAAAGACTTGATCAGTGYAATTGCATAAATAGAGAATATTACATGGGCGCGCARARATACGAATTTTATCTTCGAGTGTTGAAAAGATCTCTCACGAGTGAGCGTAGAAATAGAGAAAAATAGATATTTCATTGGTAATTATATAATAATAAGTTTTATCTCTGAAATTATTATCTCTGAAATTATCATCTCTGAAATCGTTATCTCTGAAATTATTATCTCTGAAATTATTATCTCTGAAATTATTATCTCTGAAATTATTATCTCTGAAATCGTTATCTCTGAAATTATCATATCTGAAATTATTATCTCTGAAATCATTATCTCCGAAATTATCTCTGAAATTGTTATCTCTGAAATCGTTATCTCTGAAATTATTATCTCTGAAATCGTTATCTCTGAAATTATTATCTCTGAAATCGTTATCTCTGAAATTATTATCTCGGAAATTATTATCTCTGAATAGTTATCTCTGATATTATTATCTCTGAAATTATTATCTCTGAAATTATTATCTCTGAAATTATTATCTCTGAAATCGTTATCTCTGAAATCGTTATCTCCGAAATCATTATCTCTGAAATCATTATCTCTGAAATCGTTATCTCCGAAATTATTATCTCCGAAATTATTATCTCTGAAATTATTATCTCTTAAATTATTATCTCTGAAATTATTATCTCTGAAATTATTATCTCTGAAATCATTATCTCTGAAATTATTATCTCTGAAGTCTGAAGTCCCTTCTCGGCTTTCGTACATTAGATATTTGTATAAATGTATAAATGTATACTACAACGTTTCTGCAATCCAGTATATATATATATATATATAGAAAGATTCATGATTAGGCTTTAAATTGGTCAAATAAACATTTTCTGAAAATTGACCAAGGAATAATGTATTTTCCGCCATTTTGGAATAAGGTGTATTCAATCACAAAACAAATGTTTACTGGTGTTGCGTCGTTTAATTCGTTAACGCAATAGAGGGGTACAATAGACCTAAACAAGTAGTAAACAAATTACTTATTTTATTGAATCCACTAAAAAAGGGCATCAGCTCTCATGCTTAGTGCTAAATTTGGTATACATTCTTAGACTAGTTTCATGGAAAACAGTATAATTGAAAGCCAACGGCAATTAGATTCGACGGGGCAAGATTATGACCATATTTAATAGAGGGGAGGACCAGAAAAGAAGACCCGGCCTGAGCATTGGGCACGTATTACTGAAATATTTATTTTTATGTTTTTGAAGCCCATCGTTTTAAATTTCGAATCTTTTTTTTGTTGTTACTTTTAGTTATCTAGTTTAGTCAATTAGTTTCTTGAGTTTTTTGTCCTCCTGACCGACTAGGCATCGCAATGATTTTTCATCTTTTTCGCCATCTTCATGACTATGAAATAAACATGATATGGTTTGAAAACATTGATTTTAATTCAAAATTATCAGAATAATCTCAATCAACCATACAAATGCTTTGCATGTAGAGTCTTTTCTATAGCAAGACAGAGTTTGTGTGCACCACGTCACCGCTCATAAACCACAACAATAACATGGCTCTTTGAAGTTTGCCGTCCCCTCTATTAACTATGTTATAATTATGACTTGCTACTTTTTCCTATTTTTCTTTTAGCTCTGTTTCTAATATTGTACAGGCAGTACTTAACTGCAGACCAGTCCCGATGAGCTAAGACGCCACGGCTTTTCGAAATACACTTGAGGCAGTCCTCTTTCCCAGGGAGGCGGTCTATCTTCAGAAACTTGTCAAGGTGTTTCATGACGGCAGCTTTCTCCTCCTTCGTCCATGAAACATGGTTGTTTTTTTGGCGGTTTCCTTTACCTGGAGTTGAAAGAAATATGCCAGTCATCGTCACCAGTAGCAGTAGCGGTAGCAGTAGCAGTAGCAGTAGCAGTAGCAGTAGCAGTAGCAGATAAAGTGTGTTTCACGGGTTTATGAAAACCATTCTAATGCACAGCAAAAGGTGTAGTAACTTGACAGTCGCAGTAGCAATAGTTAAAAGAAAATCTTACCTTTTTGAATACTTGTATTATCGTCATCATCGTAGTCATCATCATCATCATCATCATAGTCATAATCATCACCATCGACAGCTTCATCAGTCTCATTTGCGGATGAGTCACTCAACCCTGAGAGAGACAACGACAGAGAAACAGATCTAGGTTTATTTAACATGTTTACCAATAAACTAAAAAAATCAAAAAAGCTTATATAGAAATTATTTTTTTGTAGATATCACCCCTGATTTATACGTACCTTGTTGCCTGTTGCGTCGTTTTGAGGATTTTGGGCAATCTGGACAATTTAAAGAGATGAATATAATCATGGTATAAATTCTACAAGTATCACAGTGTATTTACTTTGTACACACATGATACGTACAGTAACTTTATGTCCACCCTTCACAAATAATGTTTTCAAAATCATTTGCCCTGTCCTTGAATTGGGGTGGGATTTTTCAAATCTGAAACATAAACACTGATCTTAGTTGGCCTTCTTCGATATCACTGACCTTGGCTCTTGTGAATACCTCG